TCTGCTGAAGGATTTATGTTTTGGAGTTTGGGTAAGATGGTGATTTAAATTGAAATAGATTGTAGGATGGCGAATTAATGAAATTAGTTGTACAGAATACAGATCAACTACTTTTATTATTATTTATGGCTAAACTAAATAATTATCTATTTTAAAAAAAAAATAGTAAAATTAAATTAAAAAATTAATAGAAAATGGTGGGTCAGATTTCCGTTTGGTTGGGCTTCTTTGTGGACCATAAATTCGGGCTCAATCCCTATTAAATGTTTTAATTTGGGCCAAAGTTATTGATAAATTGGTTTCTAAATAAAGCAAAAATTCGATTGGGACCATATGCCAGTAATAAATGAGAAATAGGAAAAAAAAAAGAGTCTAATAGAAAATAAATGATTTTTTCCACTTTTGTATTTTCTTTGATATTAAAAAATAATAAAATAAAATCATTCTATATTGATAAAAAAAATCCATATATTTTTGCCATGTTATTATTATTTTTTATTTAAAAGTTATTACTATCCATATTTTAATTTCATGGACGAAACTAAGGTGGTCAACGGGCCGAGCCGACTCGTGTTCACTATGAGCCGGCTCGAAAAAAGCTTGAACTCGAACTCGATTTTTTCGAGCTCGAGCTTTATGACAAACCGAGCTCGAGCCAAAAATGAAGGAACTCGACAAGCTCGAATTCGAGTTTGACAAAATAGACTTAGACTCGAGCTCGAGTCTGCCAAAAGTGGCGAGCTCGGCTGGTTCACACTCCTAGACAAAGCTCATTTATTAAAAAGTAGAAAAATAAATGATAAGATATGAAGGGGTGGTGGCCCCATATGGTAAAGGTCAGGACACGTGAAGTTCACGTGCCTTTCACCTAAAATAGGTTTTACTCTTTTGTCATTTCATTTGTTGTCTCAACGTTCCATATTTATGATTAATACATTTGCTTATAATATAGAATTCTATATAGTTATTTTCTAATCTAGGACTTCTTTATTCGATTTACAGCAATCAATCAATTATCGATCTTATTGTACATTTTTCTTATTCGTTTATATTATGCCTCGAATCTTCATCACACAACACCTACTTATCATTCCGTATTGCAAGCTGGTGTATGTTAATCGTCTTTTACCGATGCGAGCTCTATGAACTTTTTACTTATGCATTCCCTCTTTAGAGAACATGTCAGTCTATCTCGGTTCTCATCGTTCGTTGGAACTTGACCCATTGGGTATGTGGGCCCATCTACGTTTTGGGCTCAGTTTTTATCATACATTGGGACCAAGGCTCGCTGATCTTTAATATAGGGAGCTCAGACCAAGAATGCCGAACTGACCACTGCTATACCATAACTATTTAAACCTAAGGCTAAAAATAAATAAATAAATAAAATTTCCAAGAAATGAAATAGTGACACGTGTGCGGACACCAACTCTCAAGCAATAAAAAATGAGCAACAAACACAAATCAAAATCTTGGGAGATTCACCTTGGATTGTATTTTTGTTCCACCAAAATCATGATTGACATTTTCACCAGTCATTTTCATTATCTTCATATCTTATTAATAATATTTTAATTATTATTAGGTTATCACATTGTCATTTAATCCATAATGATCTAACAAAATCATTTTACTTTGTATGCACATCTAATTAGGTGCACATTAGCTTTAATTTTGACCGTTAAATTATAGGTGAATAGCGTTACTCATCACTAATCTCTTTCATATGATTGTGTAATTATGGAATTAATATTTGATCATACTTTATATATAAAGTTTGTGCACAAGGTTAATAATGTGCTAAACAAAAGTTATCACTTTGGTGGATTTTCATAATTAATTTTGCAATCTCGCTCGCGCGAATGTATATGAATTGACAAGTTTCGTCGTGACTGAGAAGAAAGTGTGAACGTTGAGGTCATTTTCATGAAAATTAAGACATTCAAATGGGATCCATACCGTAATAATTATTTTCTTTAAGGATATATTTTGAATTGAAGTCGATGATTTCTTATTATAATAATTAAAAAAATATTATACTATATTAAATTAAAATTTTCAGAATCTTAATTTTGAAATACCTTATTCTTTTGGGGTGATTGTGAAGAAATTAAGATTAATGGGTGTATTTTTTATTTTTTTTATACATTATTAAAATATTAATTAATCACATGGATTAACTTAATTGTATTCTCATTACATAATAGGGGATCAAAACAATCTACCGGCCCAACGGGCCCATAAAAAACTCAATACCGGGCCACGTAGTCCTAATCCATGTTATTAAGTATTAACACTTCAATTTAGTAAATTACTAGTATAAAATATTTAATCCTTTTTTTTTGTTGAGATGATAAAATATTTAATCTAATAATTATAAATTAAATAATTTATTAGAGTGTTAATTTAGAAACAACTTTTAACTATGTATTGAATTCATCTGTCAAACCCACCAACTCTACGGTTCATAGCTCTACCGGAATGAGTTAATGCCACGTAGATATATAATGATTATTTTTTCTAAAAAAATAATAATATTATAATAAATTAAAAATGACAAATACTAGTAATAGAAATCCTAGTAAATTGGACCAAAACAAGTAACATGGGTGGGGGTGCCCCATATTTGGATAGTTCTCGTTGTTTTCAAGAGTTTGGATAATATGGAAAATATGTACTTATTTATCCTATCTTTATTTTATACCAAATTTATATTTTGAAAATTTACATTACTACTTACATACCATGATTTTGTATCAACTATTGAATACGCATAGTAGAAAAGACCATGAAATAAGGTGCCGTTCAGGGATCGAAGAACGCGAATGACAGCGATATAATGAACCAACATCGAAGCTGTCAAAAATTATGCACACCTTCAAGCGCAGAGATTTTCAGACGCTACGCGCCTCATCTGTATGGCTGTCATGATCACGTTAGAATACTTGAAAAAGTATTATTATAAATTAAATTGTGTATTTTTTTTCTTATGGAGGTACCTATTTATAAAAGAGGATATAAGTCTAATAACAATTTAACTGCGACTCATAATTAATTGGAACATAATTCTGTAATACTAGTAGACTCATAAATATATATTAACAACTTATTTATTAAACTTTTGATCGTATTTATCATTTATAAACTAATTCTTCTTCATTATACATATAATTTTATTTTTTAATTAATTTGTTCTTCATGTAGATCGAGGGTCCTATATGAATTTTTGTCAAGAAAATGTGAGGCAGGTACGTAATTGACACGTGGCACAAGTTGCTTATTGGATGAGGATTTGTTCGATGCTACACCCGGTGTTTTTCACCGGGTGTAGCATCGAACAAATCCTCATCCAATAAGCAACTTGTGCCACGTGTCAATTACGTACCTGCCTCACATTTTCTTGACAAAAATTCATATAGGACCCTCGATCTACAAAAAAAATTCATTTCCAAAAATTATGTAAAAATTGCAGCCACGAATAGAAAACAGGGAAGATTTATTCAAAAAAAAATAGTCCCAATTAATGACGTGGATATTGATACAATACGTGTAAAAATACACATGAAATTGACACGTGTCTTCTTCTCCAAGCTCAGAAATTTGACTATGGCAGAAAGCCAAAGGCCTTACGCAGAAGCTGGACTACAATACAACACATTGCATGGGCGGAATGTTTTTTTTGTAATAAATTATTATTTTATATTTTAATATTTTTTTTAACTCGAATTTCTCAAATATAATTAATAGGGGTTTTTTGCAAAAACCACCCCTGTGTAATCTCGAATTGCTGAAAACGACCTCGTGTTAAAACAATTAGCAAATACCCCCCTATAAAAATTAGTCAAAGGCAATAAGGCCCTTAAGAGCTCACCGTGCACTTCACTCGCCATGGATGAGAGTGGGGGTTCGTTTTTTTGACACGAAATACCAAAATGCAACCATTTTAATTATATAAGTACCAAAATGAAGTTTTTAAAATTTTCAATTGAGTCCTTTATATTTTCAATTAAGCCATCTTCTTCAATTTCAAGAGCAAACCTCCAATTTTTTCACCATGATTTTTTTCCAGCAAAAACCATCAACCAAATCCATATCTGAACATGAAGTTCATTTCTATTCGAAATCCAAGAAAACAAACGGGAAGAAAAACGGCGCCTCCAAATTTTTCGGCACATCCTGCCCAAACAAAAAAATATACAAAAACCCTTCAAAGAACTTTCTTCCAATTTCCATAGAATTTTCTTTCAATTTGTGAAAACTTAATTCGTACCTTCAGGAAGAAGAAGAAGAAAAAGAATGTCAAACTCGAAGAATCATTTGCCGACTCTCCAATTCCACCACCACGCCGCCGCCACTGCCTTTCAATGCCACCACCGCTACTTGAGCTTCTGAATTTCCGTGTACCAAAAATTGCCGTTGCTTTTCCTTTTCTTCGGATTTGAAAAAAAAAAAAACGAATCCCCACTCACCATTGTCAGCAACCATGCTTTTCCTTTTCCTAGACGTGCAATGAAGATGAGAGGTGGTGTGCTCTGTTTTGTGTGATAATTTTTTTTTTTCATTTCTTTTTGTTTAAAACTGAAAATTACAAAAAAAACATATTAGGGGTAGTTTAGTCATTTCATGTAAGTCAACCATCAATTTTGAAATAAGGGCCAGTGTGCTTCGTAAAACACAACATATGGGGGTCCTTGCTAATATTTTTAACACGAGGACTTTTGCGGCAATTAGAAATTTCACAGGGGGTTATGTGCAATTAGCTCTAATTAATAGTGTGATTTTTTTTTTTTTAAATTGACAAATGGCATATAGCCATTTACACACACACTTGAACGTGTGTATGTGTGTTCAATTCACTTCCCAATATATATTTTTTTTCTATATATAACCAACCACATTTGGTAGCAATTAATTGCAAGATTGCAAGATTTCCCGTGATTAATAAAAAAAAGAAGAAGCTCACAAGCCAATAAAAGCTTCTACCTTTCACCACCACCACCACCGCCGCCGCCACCACCACCGCCGCCGCCACCACCGCCACCACCACCCCAACTTGATCAGAAAACCTTCCATTCATGCATTCTCCACACACCCACTTCTTCTTAATATCTTAATATAAATAAATAAATAAATATCCACTCATTGCTTCTCTGCAATAGATCTTTTCCCTTCTTTTGTTTCTCGAATAAATACAATTAGATTCTTGATTTCTCAATTTCGTTGCTTCTAGGTTTTCCAATTTTCCCCCTTTTGAATCAGAATCTTGATTTTTTTTTCTCGTCATCCTGCATGATCTTGTCCTAGTACTGACAAAGTTTGTTCGCATAAAATTTCTTCTTCAGATTTTGATTCTCAGGTACAATTCCTTAAGTATATTCCCTGTGTGTGTGTGTGTGTGTGTGTGCTTTTTTTTTTAATATATATATATATATATATTAATGTCATAATGTGATTAACGCTGATTTAGGGTTACCAGCTGTCAGAATTTATTGTTATTATTGTTTCTTTTTTGTAAATTTGTTTGAATATGTTTATGTGATCTATACTTTACTTAGATTACATTTCTTCTTTGTCCACTTTACTCAACATGTGTATTTGTTCTTGATTACATTAAAGTTATTTAAAACCATTGATCTACATATAATTGTACCCTTTAATTAATTCATAATCATCACCATCATCATTATCTTAATAATTTTTATTTTGTAATTATTAATTTTTATATGGTGAAATTGATTTTGAATTAGTGAGTGAACTAAGATGGATGCTTGCTGTGCGACACTGAAACCGGCAGCCCATTTGGCGAATTTGAGGAAAGGAGTGTTCTGTAATGAAGAAAGTAGTGGTTTCTGGGGGGACAAGATTAGAGGGAGTTTAAATAATTATATTCAATTTGGGAAAAAAAAATTGAATCTTGAAAATAATGGAAGGAAGATCAAACCCGGGTTTGCTTCTTCTGTTCTCATCAGAGAAACCGACAACGAAACCACGGTCAGCATTTTCCCCCATCCTCTGTTTTCTTTGTTTATATTCTTTGTTTCGCGTTTGGGGAGTTAATATTTATACTTAACCAGGTGCATTTGAACCGTATATTTGATTAAATAACTACTCAGTAAGCACACACATACACATGTGTGTGTGTGTGTGTGTGTGTGTGTGTGTGTGTGTGTGTATGTGTAGATTTACGGTTCAAATTCACCCAATGTAGATCAACAGGTGTAGCATCTACATCTAATTTCCCGTTCTTCGTGTGTGTGTGGGTTTTTTTTTTTTTTTTTTTATAATTTATAATTTTTAATTTGTTGGAGTGGTTTTCAGACAGTAAAAACACCAAGAATTGAGAGAAAAAGGGCAAATCTGAAAAATGTGGCTGCAATTATTCTGGGAGGAGGCTCCGGTGCGCAGCTATTCCCTCTTACAAGCAGAGCTGCAACTCCAGCTGTAAGAAAAAAATTATATAAAAAAAATAAGCTACTGCGATCAAGACTCGATTTTTATTTATGTTTCGTATTTATGTTATTTTTTTTTGGTTTTGTTTGTTTAATGTGAATTGATTTTTGCAGGTTCCGATTGGAGGATGTTACAGGCTGATCGATGTACCAATGAGCAATTGCATAAACAGTGGAATCAACAAGATATTTGTTCTGACGCAGTTCAATTCGGCTTCTCTAAATCGGCATATTTGTCGCACGTATACTGGAAATGGTGTCAGCTTTGGTGATGGATATGTTGAGGTTATAACAACTTCCGATAATGGTACTTAAAAGAATGGCAATTTAATCTTTAATTAAATATTTTAATTTAATCGTTAGGTTTTGGCTGCAACTCAAACGGCTGGAGAAACCGGCAAACGGTGGTTTCAGGGCACAGCAGATGCTGTTAGGCAATTTACATGGGTTTTTGAGGTACGTTTTTAGCATACGAAATTAAAATTGATTTATTTATATATATTTTTTGATCTGATTTTTCTTTCGATTCTTGATTATGGGTCAATCTTGAATTATTGAATGGTTCTTGTAGGATGCAAAGGCGAAAGATATAGATAATATAGTGATTCTATCGGGGGATCATCTTTACAGAATGGACTATATGGATTTCATTCAGGTTATTTTTAATTAATCTCTCAACTCAATAGTGAATTTTTTTATGATATTTCACAGTGTTGAGGTCGATTCGTAACTCGTGTTTGAAATGATTTAACAGAACCATATCGACCGGAATGCTGACATCACGCTTTCATGCGCACCGGTCGGAGACAGGTTCAATCTTTTAGCCCTCTATAATTCTTTTATTTAAAAAAAGAAATCCAAGATTATTAAAATGTCAAATTCGAAAAATTGATTTTTAGCCGAGCATCGTCGTTTGGACTGGTGAAGATTGATAGCAGAGGCCGCATAACTCAGTTTTCGGAGAAACCCACAGGCAACGATAAGAAAGCAATGGTATTGCTCTATTTCGTCTTGAAAAAAAAAATAAAAAAAAAATTAAGTGTTTTGATTTTGAATTGTGTAACAAAAAAATAAAAAAAATCCATCTGATATAATTTTATTTTTTTAAATTAATGCAGCAAGTGGATACATCTATCATAGGATTATCTCCAGACGAGGCTTTAAAATCGCCGTACATTGCTTCGATGGGAGTTTATGCATTTAAAACAGACGTGTTATTGAATCTGCTTAGGTGGCGTTACCCTACGTCGAATGACTTCGGCTCTGAAATTATTCCTTCAGCTGTTAAGGATCATAATGTGCAGGTTTGTTTTCGACGAAAATCTAATTTCATTTTGCTTCTAAGTATTTGATATTATCTTTAATGGATTTTAAAAAACGATACCCGTAATTGCAGGCGTATATATTCAGAGACTACTGGGAGGATATTGGAAGAATAAAATCGTTCTTTGATGCTAATTTAGCTCTTGCAGACGAGGTTTGATACAATTTCCGTTTATAGTAGTATCACTACTTAATTCACCAATTTTTCTGTTTATTATTATAATTAAAAAAAAAATTATTGTTTGCAGTTTCCGAAATTTGAATTTTATGATCCGAAGACTCCGTTCTTCACATCTCCCCGTTTCTTGCCACCGACTAAAATCGACAGTAGCAAGGTTAGCTAGGACAATTAGTACTTCAAAAAAATAAATTTCATCATGTTTGATGTTCTAATTTTATTTATTTACTGTTAAAAAAATGTTTTCAGATAAAAAATGCAATAATTTCACACGGGTGCTTCCTTCGAGAATGCATTGTTGACCACTCGATAGTCGGTGAACGGTCTCGTTTAGACTCTGGTGTTGAACTCAAGGTTAACTTATCATTGCATCAAAAAATATATTTATGTTAACTATAGTTTTTTTATCGATAATATTTTTTTTGCATATTATAGGATACTTTGATGATGGGGGCCGACTATTACCAAACAGAGTCGGAAATTGCGTCACTCCTCGCACAGGGTAAAGTTCCAATAGGGATTGGAAGAAACACGAAAATCAGGTGAGTGTGAAGATAATACTATTTACTTGACATTCAGAGAAAAAAAATAAAAAATACTTGCATAAATGTAATATATTTTTCTTGTTTGAACTGTAGGAACTGCATTATTGACAAGAACGCGAAAATCGGGAAAGACGTTATTATCAAGAACAAAGATGTAAGATCTTTTATTGATTAGTCATGCTATATATATATATATATATATATATATATATATATATATATATATATATATATATATATATATATATATATATACACAGACAATTCATAATTCGCTTTGTCTGAATAGGGTGTTGAAGAAGCTGATAGACCGGAGGAAGGATTCTATATTCGTTCGGGGATTATTATCGTACCTGAGAAGGCAACAATTAATGATGGAACTGTCATATAAAAATAATTAATTTCTTTGCTGGCATTTCTGTGGCCTTTTGAGGTGACAAACTGGATGAAACTTAAGCAGATAATCACTTGAGGCAAAAACCGATCACCGTTGGAGACGAAGAATATCTGCAAGAAAGCTGGCACTGGCTTACGTTAAATAATCGTCGGGGGAATAAATAAATTAATAAATAAATAAGTGTTTGCACTTACTAAAGTGCTTTTTTTTTTTTTGTTCTTTTTTGAAATTCAGTAGAATAAATTATGTATGAGGGACTCTGTATATTAAAAACAAAAACTTGTGCTGCTGTAGTATTAAGTAGTAACAAGAGAATAAGTGATGTAATAAGGCATGTTCATATTGTGTTATCTCAATGGAAGAATAATGTATTATTGTTCAAAAGTTGGAATTTATTTAAAGAGAATTACTTTACCTACAAAGATACTAAGTTTCAAACATATTCAAATGTTTAAGTTACTGATAAAATCATGCAAGCAAAAATTACAGAGAATAGGCATTTCAGTCGTAAACTTAGATTAGAATATCTCTACGAATCATCGACATTCGAACTTCATAATAAATACAAGTAGTAATAATAAATCACAGACTTCACAACTTAACAAAAAAATGTCGAATAAACGAAAACTTGCAATACGATTTTTTTTTTTTTCATTTTCTTTTTCAGAAAGCTTTTGTGTTCCAAACAGTAAAAGAGCCTCTCTTCTGAAGCTCACACGGTTGAAAGCAAGTCAAAGCCCTTCCCATTAATGCCATTGCTGCAATGCTAGGGCACTGTCCCTTTTCGATGTTCTTCAATTCCAATTTCGATATTTGTGGCTCACAAAAAATTCCCCTTTCGGGTTTTTTTTCGGCGATTCTTGATCCATTGCTCAGCCATCTCTGCACCCAAGCATGTGACAGCAATAAGCCCTTGTCCTTTTTGTTCGGTTCTGTAATAAGGTTCTTATCTTTACTAAAGAAACACCCACCCTGGTCTGAAAGCGCTAATTCTTTACCGCCACCGTACATGGTTGGAGTAATTTCTGAACTAATTACATCACTTTCGAGAATTCGTCTGAAGAACTTGCTCGCTTTTTCGGGAGATGGGTTTTCGCCCAGGTTTGAGCTCTTTGTGCATTGAGCAGGGTTGTTCGATGGGCTCATCTTGAGACGCTTGATCCATCGGGTGCTCGGATCTGCATTAGGATAATTATCGAGGCTGAAATTGGACTTCCTCTTTGGCTGCTCCATCTCTAGAGTTTGAGTTTTTGAAGAGATTGGGCATATATTCTCTGGCGAATTTGCTAAGGCGGGAAAGTTGATATCGGGAATTTCGATATGAGGCTGTTTAGATACAGTTTTCCTTGAGGAAGTAGCACGCTGAATCCAAGGTGGTAGATTTGACTTCGTATCGAGGACCTGTAACACGTTTCAAAAGATATGTTAGAGCTGTTTAAAAGCTGATGCTTGTGCAACCGTAACCTTTAGAATTATATCAGAATCTGTACCTTGGTTGATGCTGTAGAATATGAACCTACAATAGAGAAAGAGAAACGGCTTAATAACGGACAACATTTCGAATGCACATAAACAAGAACTTTTCATTTAAATAAGAACAGACTTTTTTTTAACTGCAACTTCCATTTGCCAGCAATAAAGCAAAAATAAAATAAACTGATAAATAATCGACAGCAAAACCAATCTAGCAAAGGTAACACATACCTGATTGCAGATTCTTCTCCCTAGAAGAAATGGTATCTGTCTCAGCCGATAAATTATTCCTAGTAACTTTAGAAGCCTTGGCGTCTTCATTATCAAAGGAATTGATCAGAGGCTGAAGTTCCATTTGTTGCTTAACATGACCAGAAAATGCAGAGAATCGATGAAGATGACTCGATATATCTCCATTCTCACTAATATCTCTTGTACTTGTAAATACATCCTTTTGTTTCGACGAATTGAAATCAATCCTTTCTGTGATTAACACACCTTGGGTTGTCTGAGCATCCATGGTGGTGCCGATTCTCTTAGTCCCCACATCATGAACACGATTCTGAAACTTCATTAAAGAGTAACAATCATTACGCGTATTCCTTGTTTCAGTTTCCTCGGAAGTAATGCACTGACTCGAAAACATTCCAATACCTGAACACTTCTGCATCTTTGGGGCCCGTTCGAGATCACTCAATGAGTCGACATATTTTTCTTTGTGAGGATTAGGGTTTATCAAATGAGTTTTCATCCACTTGGGAAGATTCTTTGAACTACCTTCTCCCACAGAATGGCATCCTCGGGAAATAATTCCTTCCCCACTCGAGCACTCAACAGCTTTACCACGCTCAAGGCTGAGCTCAAACGGAGGCCTTAACGCTTGCATTTCATCTGTGTGCTGGCCATATTTGAACGCAGAAGCGCAAATTCTCTCACTCTCGACGATTTTTGAATTCGTTTTGACGATCTCGAAAGTTTTAGTCTCGATCAGTCTGACTCCTTCGACAGACCTAGAAGAAGCTGCCAATCCATCTGTTAGATCAGCATCCATGGTCGAACGGTCACGTTTCTTGTTTGGAGAAGTACGTGTTTCGTCGAGGCTCGTTCTCAACCAATGAGACATCCACAGAGATTGTTGCGCTTGCACAGACTGTCCACTTCTCCCATCAGTGTTGTCATTAACTGATTGTTGGACTCGATCAGACATGATGAGTTGGACTCGGTTGCAACTGTATCTTTGGAATGGGATCGATCTGCACACACAAATTAAGCCTACTATTAAAACCTAAAAGGCATGTATTTGTAAAGACAATAAAATGCTAATTATCAAAAAAAAAAAAAAGACAATAAAATGCTGATTCAACTGCGAAATTCACAACCTGGTTTCCTAATCCGAAATATTTCAACATAAAACGTACACGTTTTGCGCAGTTTAATTTCAAGGTTGATTTTAACTCAAAATTAATCAACCATTGAAAGACTAAGAAATACTAGCACAAAGCACAACCAGACGGAGAATTCGAGATCCAATGAACAGAAAACGCTGCTCAGCTAACAATTAAATTTCCATCTCCGAAGATCCAAAACTAAATTAAGCAGCGGAACAAAAAAACAAAGATCCACACAATAAAGAGATCCACGAACAAAAAATAAGCAACTGACAAATTAAACTGTTGAACAAACAGATTTCAATCGCCACAAACGAACAGAAACAAAATAATTTGAAGCAACAATTAAAAATGGCCATGGAGTAGTCAACTCACCTCTCTGTTTAGTCCACCAAAATACCGAAAAATCACGGTTTCGCAGCTGAATTCAGGATCGTGTGTGTCAGTGTGTGTGTATATATATCGTTATGTATGTATGTATGAGCTGAAAAGTGACGGAAGAACTCAGAGGAGAGAGAGAGAGAGAGAGAGAGAGAGAGGATTGGTTTATGGAGCCAAGCTTAATCTTCTTAGTTTTGGTTTTAAGCTTTATAGAAACAAGGCGGGGGTAGCTTAGTGGTGGGCCCCACTTATCTTGCACTTTTTGGATCTTTAGCCGCTACACCGGATTTAAATATTAGTAGCTAATTTTACTAATATAGATATAATTCAACGTTGACCGGCTTACCTGGACTAAACCATGAGCTTAGCTCATTCATAAGCTTGATTAAGCGGCTCCACAAAAGCTCAAACTTAACCCCATTTAAAATATAATATTGCAAAAATTGGTAATTAGAGTAATTTTTAATATAATAATAATAATAATAATAATAATAATAATAATAGTTAATGTAAAAATAAATAAAATGAGCTTAAGCTCGAACACGAGATCAAGAACTCGAGCTCGCCGAATTTTTTATCGGTCAGGTTGTCAATACGATAAAAAAGAATATATATATATATATATATATATATATATATATATATATATATATATATATATATAATTAAGTCTTGTTTTGTTACATATATCGTATTAATTTGGATTAGATTTGTATTTGTATAAATTTGAAAAATATTTATCATTCACTCTGTAAAACAAATCAAACATAACAACTACTACACTGGGAAAAATAATCCAAATATATCCTTGCATATAATGTAATAATAAAGTATGACATAATAAAACCATGGAATTATTATTTTTACAATGTAATAGCAGTTCAATTTTGAATTTCGCAACAATTTTGAGCATGTGCTCTGACAAATGTTTATTGAGGCGGGCTTAATGGAAACTCGACACCTCATCCTAATTATATTTGAGTCGAGTTTATTCTTTATTAAATTGGACCGATTTAAAACCATTTTATTAAATATAATTTATTTATGAATATGAGTTTGAGCTTAGTTTAGACCATATTTAAAAGAATAAAATGAATCTATTATGAATATTGCTATTCCTGAAAAAAAAAATATCTAAAATAAAAGGGAATTAAATAGAAATAATATCTAAATAGGATGGGCTGAGCAGAATGATTGTCCCTTTTTGAGGACACAAATATCTAGCCCATGAAATATCTTTGTTTGCTATGTTGATCCGATCCAGTCACCGAGTCAGTCAGTCAACATTATATCTATAAATAAATATCTACGCTGAGCCGACAACGAAGCCGAGCCGATTGATTATTTAAGCACGGTGGTTTATTTTAATATTTTTTTAGTATACAACATTAGGTGGAGTGGTTTGCCACGAATTCAGTTCTTCCGCCACTAGTTTATTTCATGGACACGTCATTATTTTTAATATTTAATTAGTGTGTCCTTTTCTACCTTAATTGCGTCGGGGAAATCGGATTAACTTGATACAACTAATATAAAAATTTATATTAGTTAGCCTTTTTATGAATGCTTCAAGTGTTTACAGGTATCCGAAAATCCAATGATGTCTTAATATGATCGTGATTATTTGTGCACACGATCATCTTATATTTACAATATAAACACATGATTTTTTTGTGTATTTTACACTTTGCGCGCATGAATCAAATTAAATAGTAAAATTTGAATTGTGGACCGTAAGATTTAAACATCGATGATTAATACTTAATAGCATGTGAACTAACAAACATAACTTCTAATAATCAACATTTAATCAATACATCGATTAAAATCCATTTAATAACATTATTTGATTTTAATAATTATTATTGAACTTACTTTTGGGGTAAATCAGCCATTTACAAACTTTTTAGATACCAATCATGAATTATGAAAATTCATTTACGCTTTTATAATAATATAATATAAAGAGAAAAATACAGTTTTCATCCATCAACCGATTTTATATTTGGTCCCCATATTCACAAAAAAACACGTTCGATCCCTCATGTTTGAAAAATTCAACATTTTTTGTCTTTTCTGTGAACTTTACGTTAAAACTAACGGAATCACGCATGTGAAACCACTGAATTAACCGACGAACTAACGATAAATTGACGGAGATGACCAAAAAGTTAAATTATTGAAACATGAGAGACTAAATGTGTTTTATTGTGAACATGAGTGATCAAATGAGGAATATAAGTAAACTTGATGGGTGAAAACTGCAATTTGCCATAATATTAAACAGCGTTTTTCCCATTTTGGAAAAAAGTACATATAATAACAATAATGACGAAATTACCCAAAGCATATTCCGAGAAAAGGGTGAAATCGTCGTTTCTTTTGTTATCGCAGTCGTGTTTGTTTCTTCGCAAAGTTGTCAAAGGAGTCGGTGCTATCTGGATACCTATTCCCAAACAGATCCGAATCCATATTTTTTCACCTCCGAAGAACGGAAACCCCCCAAATTTCGATTCACTTTCACCGGCTGTATGCTAGCCAAAGGTATACCCTAAACTGTAATTTGTGTTTTAATCAACAATTCATTACATTTTTTTTAATGCATAATGCACGATTAATGGTAATCTTCTGTATTTTTTATGATTTGTTACAATTTAATTAAATTTTTGGCAACCATTGATCGGCGGTGTCAGATCTGCTTGTTATTCGACGTTTGGTTTCATTATTTTGGGTTAATTCTGTTTCCGATCGTAAATTTGGTCTGCTATTGTGTTTATTATCGTGAATGTGGGGTTTAATTTGCATTTATTTAGAGCTTAGCCGCGTTAATGATTATTTGAAACGGATGTTGTATAATTCCAAGTTGAGTTGTTTGTGTTGTATTGCGTATTCGATTTGAAATACAGCTCAAGCAGATTAAATGAGCTGAAGTTGAGGTTAAATTTTTTGTCTTGCCAAAATTTTGGTGAAATTATCATATTTTCGTTATTCTGCTGCATTGTTCTTCGTTTTTTTGGATAGAGCTGCTGGATTTATGAGGTGTTGTTTTTGTTATCACCGCTCCAATCACTCGTGTTTATTTCTTTCTTATTCGGTTTCTATTTCTCCCTCTTGAATGGAATTTTACTACCTTGCTTTCTTCATCATCGTGCTATGTGTAAAACATGTCTAATTGTATCTATTATGGTTGATGTTACTGAAGATTGGGATGTCTTTTTTAGGGTTTTGAATTTGATATTCGATGGAGGGGGTTGGAGGTGATGGTCCCTCAGCAGCAGCTGCAGCATTGAACCAAAAGAGGCATGAAGTGTCGAGACTTTTCCAGTATTATTTAGATAAATCTACTCCACATGCTACTTATCGCTGGGTCGGAACTTTTGTTTTAGTGTGTCTTTACGCTCTCCGGGTTTACTATGTTCAAGGGTTCTACATTGTTTCATATGGTTTGGGGATCTATATTCTGAATTTGCTCATTGGGTTTTTGTCACCGCTTGTTGACCCTGAGCTGGAACAAACCGATGGGCTGCTTCCAACAAAGGGTTCTGATGAATTCAAGCCTTTCATTCGCCGTCTCCCTGAGTTCAAATTCTGGTGATTCTTCTAGTACTTTCCCTTGTCCCAATTTTGGCATGATGAGATTTTGACATTGTTTATGTTCTGAAATTTGATAACTCTAGAATTTTTGTGATGTTTTATTTCTTCTTAGCAATGTGAGTGCTACTTTTGCTTTCCATTATTTTTTTGATCGAATCTTTTGCCAAACTCAAAGTAAAAGTGGGTAAGAGTATCTTGAAAATGCCATAGATGGTTCTGAAACCTTGCTTCGTTTTGTTTCGATCATGTCCTGCTAATCCTTGTTCTCTTCTGTTCATTGTCTTTGCTGAAAGTGCAACATAGATGCAGAATGTTGTTTTTTATGACTGGCATAATTTGATAGGAGACTAACATGCTTTGATTTGGTAGCACGTAAAAAACTAATGCAGTTACTGATGTTAGTGTCTTCTTTCTAGCTTATATTTGAAACTGTTTTCCACTAATTATTCTGTAGAATAATTTGTAGTTTAGTTTCTTGCTGTCTCTTAAGTTATCGTGCTTAGAACTTCTTAGTGGTTAGGTGGCATCATAACGTGATGCATCAATTATTTAAGTGCAAAAGGTGGGCATCCATGCTACCACTTTTTTCTGGATACACTCGCATTGGCCATTCCTGTGCCCAGAATACTAATAACTATATCTCTTTGCTGTTCGACGCGTTAACACTGAATTTAATTTATCCTTTTTGTTGACTTCACCAGGAAGTCTAGCCTGCAATGAATTGTTTGGTTTATATGAAAACAATGTATTGTTTGTATTAAGGGTAATTGATTGACAATATATTCTGAAATGTTGTAAATGAGCCCCATTTATTATCTGTGATGCTATCTGAGTGGGCCAGAAACACTGAAAAACCCAATTGACCTAAGCTGTAATTTTCTGATGCTGTTAAACCACTCTGTATGCCATATGTATTGCTTGATTTATTTGTATATAGTCAGCTGATTCCTATATCCGTATTATTTTCTTTGTTTAGTATATGCACATTTTTTACATCCAGTTGTTGACATTGATAAGTGTCTTGTTATTGTGGTTCCAGGTATGCCATCACTAAGGCTTTCTGTGTAGCATTTGTGATGACCTTCTTTTCCATGTTCGATGTCCCAGTCTTTTGGCCAATACTATTATGTTACTGGCTGGTACTTTTCGTACTAACAATGAAGCGTCAAATCATGCACATGATGAAGTACAAATATATCCCATTCAATATTGGCAAACAGGTATAATAATCCCTCGAAAATTGTATATTATTATCTTTATTTTTTGTACTATTAGTTGCTTATGATGGTTCTTCTCTTACAACAGAAGTACAGAGGGAAAAGACCTGCTTCCAGTGCCAGCAGCCCTCGAGCTGACTGAACTTTCTCAAAGTACCGATATTAGGAAGTATGAAATTGGAAGAAAAAAGGGGTGATGGATTTATACTTCATTTTAGTTTACGGGATTTGTTTTTGCGTTGAAATATTGACACGCACCTAAGTACAGAATTATTAGCGTATAGTTCAGTTGTTGTGCTGATATTTGACTATGGCAGCAAACTGTTGTTGATGATGCAGGGTAAGAAGATAAACTTCATTAGTTTAATGCTTGCTTTATACTTCAGATGGTCTCACTAGATGGACCAAGTTAGCTTATTGCCATTTAACTTTTCTTTCTTTTTTTTTTTTTTTTTTTATGTTTAATGACCTTATAGTTTATATTATACCATTGAATGTTTAGAATATATTGAGCACATGACTGAATATATGCCACAAGTTAATGATTGTTAATCGGTTGTTTATGGATTACCCTTTAAATGATCGGCCCTAATTCGATTAAAGCATTACGGTGGCGATATATAAGTTGCAGTTCACAAATTATTGATACATCTGTGATATTATAAATATATATTTCATGAAACTGAACTGAAGAAATTCCAAATTCAAACATATTGGTCAAGCATCTCATCGACAGTAGCATACTTAACATCAGGATAAATCTCGGATGCCTCAACACCAACCGAAGGTTCAATCTCAAAGTTCGTCTGATCTCCCTTCACAAAAACAGAGTGTCGGATTGCCATTCTCACATTTAACGGGGTCGATGCCTCTGAAACACGCGCACACACAACTATCCATAAACTTATTTACACAATAAACAAAAAATCAAGAAAACCAAAGGTAGAATTCATCTTACCTTGAATGTCTTTCAGAACCTGTTCCTCAGGAACATAAATTCTTTCGATTTTTTCGCCACACTTACTCTCCCACAAAGTCGTTAAGTCATTCATCGAAATAGAGTTGGCTGGAGGTCTAATGTAGAGTACCTTATTCAAAGTCCTCGGATCATCCACAGCTTTTATAGTATAAGCGGCGATATCTTCTTCCGTATTAAATACAGCTGAATATAACAGAAGCAAAATACTAAAAAAACTTGGTCGATAATCAATATTAATTGCAACCACATATTTGATCTTATTTAACTTGATCACACATACCTTTTGTGTTCCCATCTGCTAAAATGACAACTTTGTCCCTTGGTGGAGCTGTGGCATCTAGTTGAGCAAGCGCTCTAACAAATAAACCAGCAAAGCAATTGCTTACGACATATGTATAAGGAACTCCGGAAGCTTCCACAAGACGACGGAATTGAACCTTTTCTCCGAATATCGATTTTGCCGGCTCAACAGGATGGCCACGATCCACGTCACTTCCAAACTCCGAAGGGAAGAATCGCTACAAATTAACATGTTTAATTAAGCCACAACCTTTGGTTGGTAAGATAATCCATGATTAATTAAATAAATTAGGTATTATATATGAAAATAAATTCAAGTTGAGAGTTAATAATTTACCTTGACATTGGAAGTTTCTTTCATAGCAGCTAAAAGCATGTGTTGATCATTCACCTGAGTGGAGCCAACAGTTGAGATCACAACATCCACCTGCTTTATTGCTTTCACTAAGCTCTCGTGATCGTACAGATCTCCCTACACCGACTCAATCACCCATAATTAAATCAATTATTTCAGCTCCGTACATTAGGAATTCGATTCAATCCTATCTAATTCGATTATAAATTACGCAGAAAAAAAAAACTAGAGGAAAATTGAGCTCACAGGGATGAAGGTGGCGCCGGAATTTGTAAAGGTCTGAATTAGGTCGGATTTGTGGGGGGTAGGGTTAGAGAGAGTGGACTCTCTCACTAGAAGGAAGGTGGGGTGGCCGGCGCTGATGCTGGCTTCGACGATGAATTTGCCCATGTATCCAGTTCCTCCGATGATCAGAATCTTACTCTTGCCGGCCATTTTAACGATTCTCGCCGGCGACGGTAGTCTAATTGTGAAATAGTCAAGTGTGATTTGAAGGCTGATGTGTTCATCTTTTCTTATCCAAACCAAAATATTAATTTAGTGGTTGTTAAATTGCCATTAAAAAAACGTTTACTAATTAGATGTGGGGAAATTAGCCAAAAGTCCTTGTACTTACGGAAATTGTTGTATCCCAACCAAATCTTTTATTTTTTTCTTCTAAAAAGTCCGTTAATTGATTAATCTATTGACATAAATATTCAAACGCGATTTTGATCATTTTTCACTTCAAGTTTTGCAAAACCCGAAACCAGAATTTGTAGTTTTTTGAGTTAGCTTTCTAATCCAATCTGAATCACCAAAATTGGATGTCGGATGAAAAAAATATACATTAATCAATGAATACTGCCAACAACTTTGATCTTTTGAGTTACCTAAAATTCAAAATGTGACTGATTCATGCATAACTTTGTGACACGACATCCAATGTAGCTGATTTAAGTTGGATTCGAAAGTTAACCTAAATTACTACAGTTTTCGTGTTTCAAATATTGCCAAAATCAGACTGGAAATATGTCAAAGTCAGGTTCGAAGTCAAAACGGCATTAGTAGAATTGAAACGACAATTAACATTTCAGTTTCGTAATTGTTTGCTTTCATTTTATTTTTTATATGATACATATTTTGCTTGGAGTGTGAACTTGTCAAATGAATTATCAGAATAATCTCTTAATAGTGTAAAAACACATGAATATTTGTCCTCAACAAGATTGCTGGTGGTTTTCTTGTACAAAACAAACAAGTACAAAAGTCAATAATTACATGTAGCTTAAAATTACAATTCCTACAACAATGTATCCAAGAACTCACTCACTGTAGTGTATTTAATACGCGGATACAGCTCTGTTCCTTCCACACCATTCGACGAGTTTATGTCGAAATACGTCTGATCTCCCTTCACAAACGCAGAGTATATAAATACCATCTCCATGTTATCTGGATATTCCATTTCTGAAATAACGCAAAGTCACATTGTTTACGACTTTCAGTAACCAACTAAAAAAAACGACAACTTTTTGCAATAATCAACATACCGTGAATTTTCTCAAGAAGGGCTTCCTCTGAGACATAATTCCTCTCGAGATTTTTCCCGATTTTCTTCTCCCAAATATCAACAATCTCGTTCATGGAAAGAGTGTTTCCGGGTGGCCTCAAATACAATGTTTTATTCAGTGTGCGTGGATCGTCCACCGTGCTAATCGTGAATGAAGCAACATCACATTCCTTCACAAACACACCTATTATATATAACCCCCAAGAAAAAAAAGTAATTAGACGAAATCCCCTAAATTAGATGAAATTAATGTTTTAATTCACGAGACCTTTAACATTTCCATCTCCGAATATAGTGACTTTGTCTCTAGGTGGGGATTTAAGGCCCGGCTGAACGAGGGATGGAAGTAAGTAGCTCGTATAAAAGTTGCAGCATATGTAAGTGTAAGGAATGCCTTCATCTTCGACAAGACGCCTTATATCGGATTTTCTTGAATAGAAGTTGTGGTCCAAATCCGAAACCCTAGTTTTATCGGGATCCAATCCAAATTCTGATGGAAAAAACCTCTGCACTATCCCAGCTCAATGTAGTAAGCTCATATGAATTTCATGTTCAAACACTTTTTGAAATAAAAAAAAACTCAAAAAAATCTGCAATAATTAAATCATTAATTCATTGGTATTTATAACAAAAAAAGAAAAAAAATACAGAATTAAGAAAAGAATTGACCTTGATGCAAGCAGCGCGTTTGATAGCCGGAATTAGAAGCATCTGATCATGCGATTGCTTCGAAGAAACTGCGCAAATCACAACATCTACTTGCTTCAGGGCTTCGATTAAAATCTCTTCATCTTGCAATGAACCCTAAAACCCCAAATTATTTTTTTTTTAAAATCATAATTTACAGGAACGGAAATTGAGCTGAAATAAATGGTGCATCGGGACATGCCTTAACGATCTCGAGGCCGGCATTGGAGAGGAATCGAAGTTTCTGGAGTTTGTCCGGGTCGGAAAATCCGGATTCTCTGACGAGTCCGATTGTTCGATGGGATGCATTGAGGCTGGCTTTCGCTAATTCGAATCCTAGGTTTCCTGTAACTCCGATTATCAATATCTTGCTTTTGATTTCCGCCATTGTTCAATTGATTGGAGTGAGGCGGCGGTGGTGGTAGTGGTGGCGCGTGGGTTGAGACTGGCGGAGAGAAATGAATTTATTTGGGCTTGGAAATGCAAATTTCCAGAAGGTTTATGTCAGTTGTTGCCCAAATGGATCTGGGCCGTCTAATTAAAAAAGGCCCAATCAATTATATATTTAAATTAAAACGGAAATAAAAATAATTAGGGCAATTGTGTGAATTGACTATAATACCCCAGTCCCCGTCTATATATTTTTGTTTATAAAACCCCGCAATCAACAAAACCCTAATGCATATGGCCGCTTTCGTCTCCGCCCATTCAAAAATCTCAGCTACTGTGAATTTCTCCTTTCAAAGTGTTGGCGATAATTTGTTTACACTGTGCACACACACAGACAAACACACGGATGCGTGTGAGAAAAATAGGAGGCGCGATGATGAGATAAAGAAATAATCTCGTTAATCTGATAATTAATGAGGAAACCTATCTATCCATTCATATTTCCTGAGCGCCTTCTATTTCTTTTCTCTTATTTACATTTTTGTTTTTAAATGATTTTTTTTTTTGTTAGTTTGTTTTTGTTTCTGCATAATTTAATTTTTACTAATCCTTCAAATCTGGTTCTACATTAATCTATTTCTTCAACAAACTATTCTTGTAATTGTGAAAATTTCTTATTGCTATTTTGATCTGTAGAATTTTAATGATTTTTTCTTTTCTTTTTTTATGGACAATTGACTTTTTAAAGATCCGTTTGTTGGTTTTTATAATTAAAATTAAAAACCCCAAAAAATAGTATTATGAGTAAGTTTTCTAATCCAACTCGAATCACAAAAATTGGATGCCCTAGAAAGATATACATGAACCAATGGATATCATTCATTCATAACTTTGTCACACTGTATTCAATCTAGCGTATTTAAATTGAATTATAAAACTAACCCAGATCAAAATATAAATATGTTAAAATCAGGGTCAAATTCAAAACGACATTAGTAAAATTGATTCAACATTTAATATTTCAGTTTTTATAAATATTTAATTCAACTTAATTGTATAATTGTAGTTTTGAAATTGTGTAGATGGCATTGGGCTCTTTGACCTAAATGTTTATCCACATTAATTTCATTTAATCAAGAGCTTTTACTTATGACAAATTAAATGTGTTATAAATATGTTGGTTTGTAAGGATTTAAGGATGAGAGCGAAAAATGTGTACCTCCAAATATTTAAGGATTTAATTGACTAACGAATTAAATAATTGACAACTAAGGTGGTGTTTGCAAATGATTATTTAAAAGCAAAGGTTAGTGGTTGTGATTTAAGTTAGTTTTAAGTGCTTATTTCTAAAAGTTGGGGGTGTTTGCAAATATTTCGGAAAATGAACTAAAATTGAAAAAGCAGGGTAGGGGTGCTTTTAAAAAAATAGCTTAAAGCAGATTATTTTAAGAGAAGCAAAAGCAAAAGTTGATTTTGCAAACACCTAAAAACAGATTATGAGCAAAAAAAACCGCATAATCACTTTCAAAAAGCATTTGCAACTAAATATATTTTTTTTGACAAGTTACAACTGAATACATTTTATTTGATACTGAACCTATAAATGCTTGGTGATTTTTAATCACTGGTGTGTGGTTAAATAATTGCTCTTGGCATCAAATAAATCCATAGTCGACATGTACTTATTTCTATTTTTCAAAGTAAAAAACATTTTCGTCGGCACTAAAATCAAATTTCACTTTATTTTTATCAAATACCAACCTAACTTAATTTTGCACAATAAAACAATAATAATATATAAATAGGATTAAACTCGAAATTAAGGGAATAATGGGAGAGAAGTCGGTGAACCAAAACCTTACCAAATTCAGCGACAACGATTGGAAAATGAAAATTGAAATTCAACCCAAAAAAAAGAAAAGTATTAATCACACTTTAATCTATTAATTATTATTCAAAGTCGGCTGGCTCGCTCTGCATTCCAAAATCAAAACGATCACCGCTTCTCTAAATCACAATAAACCAAACTCAAAACGAAATCCAAATCTCACAATCATTATTCCTAATTTTGTCGTTCAAAGCAAAAATTGTAGATCGAGTAATCAATCAATAATCAAAGCACCAAATCGGAAAAAAAAAATGGAGACGCTGATGGAAGATGTAGAGTACAGCTGGAAAGAAGTGTCTCTGCCGTCGCTGATTGAACCGGAACTCGACAGAGAAACCGGCGAGAGGAGAAGAGGCCGTGACATAATAATCGCCGTCGATCATGGCCCTAACAGCAAGCACGCCTTCGATTGGGCCGTCACCCATCTCTGCCGCCTCGCCGACACCCTCCACCTCGTCCACGCCGTCTCCAGTTATTTTCCTCCAATTATTATCTGCTTCCGCATTTAGGTTTAATTTGCTGCTAATTTAATTTTGTTGATTTTTTTTTTTTGTTTGAAGGTTTCAGTAACCAGATTGTTTATGAGTCGACTCAGGGCCTCATGGAGAAGCTCGCCCTCGAGGCTTTTGAGGTTGCTATGGTAATTTTTCTTTCTTAACTTGATTTTTTTTTTTTAATTATAGATCTAATGATAATAATAATTATTATTATTAGTGTAGTATTAAATAATTCAGTTGATCAATTATGCATCGGGATTAAAAATGAGCTCAATCAATGGTTCGAAACTCCATTTTACGCGGTTTTAGTACGTTTTGAACACTTGTGTTGCTTACGAATTTATTTAGGTTTGTCGTGATTATTTGTTGTTTGAAACTTATATAGAGATTCGTCGATTCTTCTTGCAATGATTTTCTTCTTCAAGAATCGTGCTATCGTAATATCGTTAGAATTATTACAACTCTTGTTCCTTTCCATAAATTGTTAAAAGTAATGGCTGCAAAAAAAAAGTTTCATTAGAGAAGCTCTTGTTATGTTGGATTCTTTTGTTTTAAAGCTTCGAAACAACCAGAGAATCTTCGATATTCGTCGTGAAGTTGTAATTGTATTTCCTCTCTTCTGTAAGTGAATTTTCTCGTTCATCTTCGAAACTATGTACTATATTATATCTCCTCTGGTTTATTTATTTATGTAAAGTGGAAATGACTGATCATGTTCGAAGTATACCTTCTCCTCCATTACTTTTGAATGTGTTAATTCTTAAACCAAGAACTACACCTTACGTAACTTGGGAGTATAAAACACAAGAAAAATTAAATAAAGCGAGCTATTATTTTTTTGTGACGAGGCTATCGTATGTTAATATTTGGTGTAAGTAGGTGAAAACAAAGGCTAGGATTGTCGAAGGAGACGCCGGCAAGGCAATATGCAAGGAAGCAGAGAGGTTGAAGCCTGCCGCTGTTGTAATGGGCACCAGAGGCCGAAGCTTCATTCAAAGGTCTCTCTCTCTCTCTCTCTCTCTCTCTCTCTCTCTCTCGAACATGTGGTTGACTTATTATTTAATTAATGATTTTGTTAATTGTTTGTAGTGTCCTACAGGGAAGCGTAAGTGAATATTGCTTCCACAACTGTAAAACAGCACCGGTAATTATTGTTCCTGGGAAAGGTATTTAACTTAACTCTGTAACTAAGCCAAGTTTCGTCAAATTTCTTACAAGAGTTAATATTAAATGATGAATGTAATTCAATAACAGAAGCAGGGGAGGAATCTGTTTTGTAAAAGGAACATGCAAACGGGGCCTCAACCATCGTTCATGAGAGTCTCAACAGCAGAATGATTTCGCTCTATTGGATGTGAGTGTAAATTTAATGTTTTTACTGTAATATAATTTATCATGTGTGATTGACTATGTATTAGATTCTATTATTGCAAAAACTAAAAAAGAAAAAAAAAACTCTTATTTGTGATTTGTGAATTGATTTTCGATTTTTGGTGGGGATTATTTGAGATTCTCTTCAAGTAAAAGACACAGAACAAGTAGTAACTGAGTTGAGTTTGCATTATATTTTATTTTTAATTTGTTATCAGTGTTTTAGATAAAGTTGTGAAGCAGGGCAAACTTTGTTTCACCATCAATTGGGGCAAAGAGAATCAATTGAGATTTTGCTAATGTACATAAAAATTAGGTCCAGCATTTTGTCATTTTCCATATGGCTTGAAAATGAAGTTGATATGAATACTCCTTTTTAGAGACTATTTTTTGTTTGGTCGAATTACGAAAAACTCCATCAGGTAAGGTCAAATTACAAAAGAAACTCCCTCTTATTTATGTAATTACAACCATCTCCCTCAACCATATATTGTATTACATGTCAACCCTAACAACGTCAAATTTACCTACCGAATGAGGGGTTCTTTCGTAAGAGGGTACATATTTGAGGGGCCAGTTGTAATTATCCCAAATTAGAGGGTTTTTTTTGTAATTCTTCTATTCAATTTGATTTTTACCCCTACTTGTTGACTGCTTACCCTAAAGCATTTTAGTCACATATATATATGATTTCCTGGAAGCCAGTCACGGACTTCATGATCACAATTGACAAACCAGACATATCTTATCATAGGTAAACTAGATGTGTATATAATAATCTTATCAAATCAAATATTGAAACTTGGATTCTAATCCATAATTCAATAAAAGAATAATAATTTCATTGTGATTAAGTAACAATATTAGAAGAATATTGAATTGATACCAATTAGATGAAAAAAAATAAAAAAAAATTGAAGTGCATATATTATATTTAAATTGGTATCAGAGCTAGGTTATATATACCCGAAAATAACCTAGATCAGACTTGCTTTGTGTACGCAAGTGACGTAGAAATCAAAAAAAAAAAAAAACGAAAAAAAATCGGGACCGTTGCGTGTGATATAAATAGATTGTCTGATTCTAGTCTCACAAGAGGAACATATGTGTTTCATATTGGTTGATTCTGTTTTCTTATCCTTCACAGAACAGCTTAAAACCTGCTTCCATGTTTCTAATTCACACAAACAACTTGTCCAATTTGATGAATGTGACACTTTTGTCTTAATAATTACAGAATCCATGTTTCTTGATTAACTCTTTCTCACATTCATATGCAAAATTGGGCTACATCTCATTTATCTTTTTAATAATTAATCAATAATCATTTTGTTAATATTTTCTCTTGCGCTGGTGGGGGTATACATAACATAGATATACACAGCATTTAGTTTCAATAATGTCGAAAAAAAGATTCATCTGCAACACTCGAGAATTCGACTTGTTCGTGGAAATTTGTACATTTGGTGCATGCCGTTCGTGTTTTCAGCTTCATACTGCTCGAATAAACCTGCAAAAATATGATTTTTTTTTAAACGTAAATTTCAAGATTTGAATTTTTTTTTTTTAAATATTTTTCGGCGTTTGTGTAGTACCTGTAAATGGCAGCTGAGAAATAATAAATGGGGTTGTGATCTTTACTCCATGTTGTATATGTTTTGGAATTCATCCTCCCATGTTACGTGCTGAATTTGCTGCTATATATTTGAAGATATTACAATTAGAAAATAAATAAATAAAAAATTAAAAAAAAAATAGATGATTTATTTATATTTAAGAAAAACAAACTCACATTTAAACTGGATGAATCAAGAAATGGATGTGGGACTGAAACAGGAGCACTAATTGTCCTCCTCAGAGAAACATCCATAGGATTAACTAACATTTCAAGAATCGAACCCGAAACTTCTTGCCCTAATGAATTGAACTGAAGTAGGGATTGATCCATCATTTCCGAAGGTGTCCCGATTGTCGGAACACTAGACGAACACCCCGTAAAATTCTGATATCCAAAAACAAAAAAATGATATTTTAGAGCCATAAATTAGTACATAATAGCCTAATCGAGAAGATTCGAATACGAGTTTTATTACATGAAAAAAAATTTACCTGCTTCGTATGATAGTTTTCAACGTCGAAATCCAGTCTTGGATTAATTACAGCCAGTTTCATGGACAAGAACTGCATGATAATTGATTTAGTTACACAGATCAAAGCAAAAGCTCATTGTTAATTAATATATATTAATTATATAAATATATATACCTCAACTTGTCTTTGAAGAGATTGAACATAATTGATAATTTCATCAAGCATTCCAGCTTTGCCAGTAATTTTATCACAGCCCGGAACTAAATCTTGAAGATATTTCATTCTCTCACTTATTTTTTCCCTTCTCACCTGAAAAATCAATTCATCACTCCATCAGAAATCGATATTAAATGATCGAAAACAACATTGATTGTTTTAATTTATTTATTTTTTGAATATATGTTTTCTTACTCTTTCAGCCAAGCTATGGCTGTCAGTAGCTTGACCGCGACGAGCACGAACATGAATGTAATCGGTTTTCGGAAATTCCTTTGAATTATTATTATTATCCTTTGAATTTGTAGCAGTTGTTATTGTGCTACTTTTGTTGTTGTTATTGCTGTTTTGCTCTGTAATTTTAGAATCTTCTTCGAAGCATTCCTTCATCTTCTTCTCCTCTGTTTTTTCCTCTGCAATTACCTGAAAAATATATATATATATACAATTAAATATGTATATATATAGTAAAAACAGAGCACGAAAAATGAGGCAGAAAATTAAATGGGGAAAAATTCATTGAAATTGGGGAAAAATGCGAACCTTAAGGGTTTGAGTTTTATCAGCCTTTCGCTTTTTGGAACTCTCTCTACCGGCGGCGGAGCTCAGAGCGGCCTCCTGGGCGGCGATCTTCGCCGCCGCCACGTCCGGCGGGCAGCTGACGGTTCTCTGAATAGCGTAATTCTTTTCCAATTCCGACGCGTAGTTCAAACCCCCAACCAAATCACCGCCCCACCCGTTCTCCAGACCCGGGTCGGGTTTCATCGCGCCGCCGAGCAGCAGCTCGTGGAGACCGCCGTGATCGCCGTTCAATGACATAAAAACTCCGCCCAATTGATCGCTGTTGTCGCTGAAATAAGGAAGGGGCTGATTCTGCTGGTGGTGCTGTTGAATTAATAACTGATCCTGCTGCCATTTGTGGCGCGAACGCTGCCGATCGAGGACGCTGATGTCGGCACCTTCCGACGCGGCGGCGTGAAGGCAGTGCAGCATCTCCGGTAAACCTCCCCTGTTCATCACCGAGAGTGGAAAAAAATGTCCTCTGAAAATAGTTGGGGTTTTTTTATATATGAAAGTTGCAAAAATTGAGGCTAACCGTCGATTATTATATATGAATCAGGAGAGAGAGCGCGCGAGAGAGAGAGAGAGAGAGAGAGAGAGAGAGAGAGAGAGAGAGAAGTGATTAATTGGGGGAAGAAGTGATGAAGTTTTAACGTTATCAAGTTATCCTTGGATCTTCAATTTTAGTAGAAGGAGAAAAAAAACATTATATTTATATACTCGAAATTGAGATTAAGATGTGGGGCAGAGAGAAAACTGCCGGAAAGTGTGAAAGAGACCGCCGGAAAGTGACGGAAGCAGCCGGAGAAATTAATAATAAAAATGAAGTGGGGGCAGAGCAGAGAGACAAGCATGGAATGTAACCACAAGCAGGAGGCCATGGTGTGTGGGGCCCACCAAGACGTGACTAGCCACGTGGGCTTGTCTCTGTGGGGCCCGTTATCCCTTGTGGGCGACGGCCCATTTTTTATTTTTTGGGCCTCTGGATATTGATATATCACAATTTATACATTATTATCATATTTTCGTCTAATTATTTTCTTTTTCTTTTTTTGAGTTTTTGAATTTATTTTTTTATTATCTTCCATCAGCATTTTATATGGTTAATAATCTTTTTTTTCTTTTGAATTTTTTGAGATGGGTTATTTCTGATTTATTTAGTACCTAAAAATTGAAACAAATATTTGGAAAATTAAATTAAATTAATTAAATGAAAATAATAATTCCCCTTTTTCAAAATATAAATAAATAGAAGATGACCTAGCTGTTAGAGCAAGTGCGCTTTTGTCAATTAATCCAGATTTGAATCCCCTTTATAACGGTCGTTGTGTCGAGCTTATCACACATGGTTAACCTAGTGTAGTTCACATTGTCTCTCGTATAATTTGTAAACTATTAGACAATAATGTATGTTTACCCACTGCATTGTGAGACATTTGATACATATTTTCCTTTTTATATTAAATACTTACTTAATTAAGGTGTTAAATTATGTAATATTTGGATTGCTTTATTTGAGAAGAGGACCACAAATATTATAGATTTTCTACCTAAATCGTTGTCACAAGACAAGCACAATCCGGTATAGATTTCATATCCTTTTCAAAATAATGCTTATTTCTCATTCACCTTTTTTTTCTTTTTTTTTTTCTATAAATGATGATGACATATTTTTCCATGTTGCAATCTGACTGGCTTCATATTATTTTTGTACCATTTTTTATTTTAATAATAATTATAATAATAATTATTATTAAAAATAAAAAATAGTGTCATTTATTTAAACATATAGTCAACTAAGGTTAATAAATAAAAAAAATATATTTATATATATATATGTATAATTATCAGCTGATAAGTAATAAGTAAAGCAAGAAATAATCTAGTATTAGAAAGCGACGTTGACCTAACAATCATAGTACAAATACACAAGTATATATATGTATGTATGTATATATTGTTGGCGCCGCAATTTGATTACGTTTTCTTTTTTAATCCTTAATTGTACTTTATTATCATAACAAATCACTATCAAATATGATTAGTGTTTCTAAAAGTATTTATAGTTGATTAGGACACCTCTTAGCTCGATTTTTTTGCTTTAATTAATATACCAATTCATTATATAAATATATATATGTCCATGTATGTATTATATATCATATTGTGCCTTGTAGTTTAGGTAATTAGTATCTACTTTTGTATAGTGACTTGACACAACCTTGATATTATACATTGCATGGCTTAATTTACATAATAATGATATTGATGGAGACTTTTCTAAGGTGACAATGGCTATACCATGCAATTTGGATTCTCAATTTCTTCTATTTTTTTTTATATATATTTTACATTTTATCATGTGTATATATATGCATAAATAAATATCTTTATCATGTGTTTGAATCCCACAGCGACCCTCCGTTCGAAAAAAATCTACGTGCAAGACTTTAAAATGTAACACATCTATCTATGCGTACGATCTATACAACATGTTTCAGAAAAAAAATGATACCAAATAAATTTCTAGTTTTATATTTTTGAAGTGGTAATTAATTGGGGGTTAAATTAAATAACCTAAATAGCAAATGGGACCTAATATTTTGATTTGAATTCTTCAATCACTTTCAATGTGGGCTAATTGAAAAGGGGGGAAATTAATCAAAATCCATACAAAGGGCTTCAAATTCTTCCAATCTTTATGCTTTTATTGCACTAAGATAGCCAAGTACAATGCACCAATCAACAGTGTCATCATTGGCCAACATTATACTATTATTACGAATGGACCCCATCTTTTTTAATTATATATATTCTGCACCCCACCAAAATGATGGCTCATATTCATCAAGACTATAATAAATTTTGTAATAATAATTGAGGGCACACAAATTTTATATTATATATTTATATATATGTATGTGTGTTATTTTGAATATTGAAGCTTCAAAGATTAATTACTTAGCTTATATATTTTTTATAGGAATTAATTAATTAAATCCCTTAAAAGATTATTATTATTATTATTTTGATGATATATTGTTGAATTAGAATATGAGCTCTTGATGTTTGGGAAAAGCCATATATAAATATATATATATAATTATTATGTATGTGTATGGTCAATTATAAATGCTGACAGATCTGTTCCATTTGCAGCAGGTGGTATTAGGTAATAGTAAAAATCCACACACACACACAAAAATAATAATTAATTAATAAATAAATAAAAAAATCCCTGCAATCTGATAATACGATTATATATTTATATTTATAAATATTGGATAATTTAAATTTTAGTTTGATGGTGTTATCTTATCTTCTGGCCGGAGATGAAATGGAGGCAACAAATAATAAGGCAAAGTATACATTATATATTTAAGTGATGGGGTTTGATAAGAGGGATATGAAATATTTTTTTAGTTTAATTTAATATATATATATATAAAACATCTGAATCTTCAATTATAAGTAACAAATATTTATATAATAGTGGATATTTAAATAACGTTGTAAGGCTACGGCACGATAAATCGGTTTATACTATGTTACACCAGGTAGATCGATTTTCATTTATAAGCACATAAACACACAGACATCTAAAAATTTATCTTATGTAATAATCCCCACTTGCAGTTCTAACTTTCATTATATATATATATATATATATATTAGTGTGTGTGTGTGTGTTTGCTGTGATGTTTTTCTGGTTAGGTAGATCAGAAAACCTGCAAATTCTTTACCGGTTTTGTTTGCCTTTTTAAGATATAAAATGAGTTAGAGGAGAAATTCTAATAGTAGTCACTGCAGCCAGTTGTCTTATATCTGCCAATTAATGGGCTTTTTTATTTATTTATATATTCTGTTTTTTTTTTTCGGAAAAGAAATAATAATAATACAAAAAAAATTAATTAAAGCATTATCATGTATTGTATCAAGTTGAAATTAAAAAAAATAGAAAAGATGTAGTAGCCATGAATACTATGGGAGTCAGTGTTGGAGCTACGTCGAGTAAATAAATTATTTATTTATTAATTTCCAAGATTTAAATTAACCAATTCCATATATTTAATTGATTCCTCATAAAATCTGCGTTACCATGAGGTGGATATTTTACTATTAATAGCTACAAATATATATATATAGCTATTTGTAGATCGGGTTAACTAGTTGCGAAATGGATCAAGACGTAAACTGCATTATTGTAACTGTGTGCGACAAGTTCCACTTAACAATTATTGGTAATAGAATTTGAACATGTATCAGTTGACACAAGTTCACTTACTCCATCTACTAAATCAATTAATTCCTATTATTTATATAACATATTGTATGAACTAATCTTAGTATATTATATTCCAATAAAATACCAAATTATGATAGAAAGTTATACGTTCACTAAAATTGTTAGAAAATTAATTTATCAAACATTTAATTTAAATTATTAGTAATAATGAAGATGGGAAACATAAGAAGAAAGTTGGTGGTGTTATGGATAAACATGAAATGTGGCGTAGCTTTCTTTTTCAGCTGGGGTTTTCGACACTTAGTCCCCTTTTTCTTATTTTTGTAGGCCCTTTTAATAGCAACTGTCCTAGTAAAACCATCTTTTTTTCAACCTTTTTTTTTTTTATAATATTTATTATTATTTAACTGCTTTCTTTAATTTAATGCTATTTCTTGTTTAATGCTTTAATAATGTACTAAATATTTTTCTTATTGTATATTTACATAGTCACTACTTTTTTTTTTATTTTTTATTATCAAATCTAATTATAAATCCGAGTTACGGTCCAAGTGGAATTGGGTTGTATTGGAGTAAAATATTATTTTTATCAGACTTTATTATCATGTTTATTATTTATTATCAAGATGGGCCATTTTAGTAGCCCAATATAAAAGTTCCAGTTCCCAATTGAACACAAAGCACAATCATCGAACCTTAAATCCGACCAAAACTATTCGCTTTTTGGTCAACTTTCTAGCCCAAAACCCCAATTTTCACTGGTTTTGAATTCTCTCGTGTTTCTCTCATTTGAAAGTGGATCTCACTTACTCACCGAAGAAACATAGTTCTGGTTCCTTCGACCCTACACCAGGTGATAAATACTGGGTGGGTCTTCTGCTGCCACGTGCCCCTTTTTTTATTTTTATTTTTAAACCCCTAAAGGTAAACCCTAGCGTGGAATATATTATAAAATACAAAAAAGAGACACGTGGCAGCAGAGGACCCACCCGGTGTTTATCACCGGGTGTAGGGTCGAACAAATCCATAGTTCTGAACAAACTAGGAAGAAATTCACATAATGGATTGCTATGTAGATGGAAAAGAAGGATTGTCTCGAAAGCAGAGAATTGAAACAGTATATTCATCGTCATAGTCAAACGAGCATGTCACCGAGAAATGCCAGGACGCATTCAACGCAGTGGTGCTACCGGAAGAGAGAGAGAGAGAACCAAATGTCAAAATGCCTGAAATGGGTGATGAAGATCAAAACAGATAGAACCAAATGTCAAAATCCAGTGTAGAGAGTTCTCACGGTTTGACACGACAGTTGGGCTTTTTGTGCTGCTGGGCTTTAAGTGTTGGGCCACTTCAGAAGGAAAAAAAAAGGTCTAATGGGCTAAATTTCACTAATCCATTTGGGCCCAAAAATCCAAAAGTGGTATAATAGAAAATTCAGACAAGATTTGCTTATTAGTGACGAAATATTACATTTGGTTATTTTCTTATTTGACACGATAAATTTGTCTACATATATATTATATGCTATGAAATTTTTGCTGAGAAAATGGTAATTAATTTAGGAACCAAACTTGGTAGATTGTTTTGAGCCCAAACATGTAATAGGCCCTTTTAACTTTTTTAAACATTCTTACAAACCAAACACCTATTTCACTAGCCCCAAACCCAAGCCATGTTATTACTCATTAATTTCAGTTTTGGAATATGCTTCAAGTATATAATCATAAAATACATAAAAATAATATTACAAATAATGGAATATTACATATATATTTATAGATTTAATTATAATCACAAATCACAATATGTACGTGCCTAAATTCTTTGATTGAATTATAAACAATTTAGAATTTACTTAGAGTTAAAAAAAAATATATTATTATTATCTTTGATAAAATAAATGTAGGCGGAAGTGCTCGTTCAATGTCATCCATTTTTTCATGCATGTGCAACTACCCCGTCGTCTGTCGTCTGCAAACGACGACAAAGCTCTTAAATGAGGTGATCATTCAACGATTAACACCAGTTTTATTTTCGTATCGAAAATAACGGATTTTTTTTTTCCGATTCTTGCACTATTTTAACTTGCATGTCTCCATATATAGCATGCATAGTATAATAGAATTAGTGATTATTACTTTAATTCAGAATATATATATATATATATATATATATATATATATATATATATATATATATAATATCTCATATTTCGTTAAACAAATTTATTGATCAAAATTAAGAAGCATACATTAGTACTCAACGTACACGAAAAGTCGAAAACTACAACACCGAAAGAAGTTCTTTTTTTTTTTCCCCCCGAATACTGGACTATATTAAAAAAAAAAAAAAAAGAAAAAAAAAAGACAGCAATTTTCTGCAATAAAATTCCCACTGCATTAATCTTCTTCTTCATTTTAAGGCATAAGTTGATGAAGACTCACTTAGATCATAAGAAACTTCGAAACCTGTACAACGACAAATTAAATTAAATACATTAATTAATTATCCGGTTATTAATGGTACAATTAAGGGACAGATTTTCAAATTAATAAAACAGTATTATATATATTTTGTTGAAAATATATTATATACTCCAAATTTGAGGTGGATATTAATAAAGGAAAAAAGAAAAAGACGAATATTAATTTTATGAATCTTTATTTTGTGGTATATATTATAAATACATATGACGAATGTCATAATGTTGACATATATTGTGCCCTTGCATGCACCTCGCACAGAATAAATAAATTGAATATTCGTAAATATATATACCTTTTATCTTCCAAATTGAATATATATAAGATTACTATTATTAATAATATTCATGGAAAGAATTTTAGAGAAAAAAAAAAGGAATTTAATTAGTGGTAATTAATTAATTAATTAAAAATAAAATGAAAATAATACCTTTAATTAATTGTTGATCATCAAATTCAACGTACAGAGGCGTTTCTGTAGTTGGGAATGGGAACATGGCCGGTTTCGATACGGCGGAGATCCTCAATGAGAATCTGGTAGTGCGTCTTCACCTCCTCCGCCGATTTGCCGCCGCCAACTGCCCGGGCCACATTCTGCCACCTGTCAGGTGTGTCCCGGTCGAACCGGGCCAGTGCCTTCTCGAACAGTTTGTTCTCTTGGGCCGTCCATGTTGAACCGGCTCTACGTGTACTCATTGAACTTGAAGCCATTTTTATTTTTAATATATATATTTTTTTTATATATATATATGTATCGAAAACTGTATACAAGTAAATAACACTGTTTTGATATGTGAGTTGATGAATTTAGTTTCCCATGCTGGGTTCTTATTTATAGGGCATACTGTGGGGGTAGTTGTGGGAATATGAATATTGGGAAAGTTGGTTTAAATTTAAAATAAAAATAATATCTAAAAAATTTCGACTTGTCTACAGTACAACCACAAGGTGAAATAATAGAAGAATCTATATCAACAAATTACAAAGACAAGTTGTTCATCCATATTATATTTTTAGCCAATTTATCTCTATTAAAATTATATATATATATATATATACACACACACGCGCACACATACATTTAGCAATTTGCTCAATTCTTGCACATGAACTCCAAACAATACCTTCTTTACACATGAACATTGAAACTACAATTGAGGAATTTGATTGGCCAAGACCGCCTCACGTAGTTTATCTCATACAGAATATTCATTAAATTTTAGAGTAAATTACGGTCGCACTTCGAGGTAAGGTTAAATTACGAAAAAAAAAAAAAAAATCCCTCTTGTTTGGTGATTACAACCATTCCTCAACTTTGAATTTTCGTACACGTCCACTTTTATAGTGTCAAATTCAACAGAATCTTCTAGATTTTTTGATATGTTCTCTTGTTTGTATGTAGCCGTTTTGTGCAAAAATGCAGTTTCTAATGCACTGCAATCTGATATTTACAAGCCAAGAGAACACACCTTATAATCATCTAGTTTCAAAATGTGGAGCTAGCCAGAATATGATAAAACGAGTACAAATTAGATCATAATAATCCATATAATCTAGAAGATTCATTTAAGTTTGATACTGCAAGCATGAACTTATAAAAATACTCATAGTTGTGGGGTGGTTGTAATTACGCAAATTTGACTTTTACTTCAAGGGTGGCCGTAATTTACCCAAATTTTAATTTCATTTTCAGTGCGCAGTAAATGTAAATTTATGATTTTTAACCATGACAAATAAAGACAAGGGCTAGTAATGTATTTTCCACTACTAAACTAACCTGTAGTACACACACAATATTTCGTAGAATTAAAAATCTCCTGACATCAAAATATATAATAACATATTTTTCAGACAGTTTTTTTTGTTTATATGCTTATAAATAGTGTGACTGACTGTGTGAAATAGAAAATGGCAGTCGAGGGTTGAGTTTGATTCGGAGTTCAGAACTTTGGAATTGAGGTTTCAGATTTTTATTTCCAATTTTTATATTTAAATAAATTGAAAATGGGTTTTAGCTGTCAATTAATACCAAAACCATGCAAGGTAATTCGAAATCCGGTGGCTGGCTGCATAACTTATTTAATCCTCGCCTCGAATTTCAAGTCGAATTTTCGACATTTTTTTCTTCCTCGAATTTGCGACTAAATTTTTACTTTCCGTTACTAATACAAAACTATGTGCAATGACAACTATTATCGTAGTTAAAACGTTCCTTTTCGCAATTTCGTTGATAGAACATTAGAGCAAATTGCTTACCCTAATTGACTAAAAAATCACTATTGACCTGACATAATACAATTTGATAAACTTCATCGAGTGTAGCATGGAACAAACCAGTGGTGGTCCGGCGTAAGAACCGTTAATGGTCCTCCTTGCAATTGGGAAATAGTACAAAGTCGAGATTCTGGATCACGAAAATTCTAATAATAAAGTGTATTTATCAAGAATCGAGGTCCAAAATATCTCTATTTTTTTTATTTTCAAGGATTCGAATTCCAAAAGTGTCCTTTCGCAAATAATTGATTTATGATTGTACATGATTTTTGATGAGCTTTTTCTTTTTCTTAGGTCGAATCATTGCCAAGAAGAGGTCCACACCTAGAAATTGGTCCATAGCCATTTTTGGGCCAAGAAAAAGAATAATTAAAAAAGAAAAAAAACTGGGGAATGAAGAATTAAAAGAGAATATTTAACAGATATTGTTTTTGAACAAATGGGCCGAAAGGATAAGTGAATAGTATCACCACACGGTTGAAGATAAGCTGCTCGCAACGCTGTTCCGTTTTGTGCCAAACAAATGGAATCGATTATCTTGGAATACAATTTCTTGCGCGGTTGAATATAATTGTTTTTAACGGTATTTACATAAGTTACTATAATGGATTCATTGATTTATATGTTTATACAAATTTACTTATTTTAATTGATTTGAATTAGTTGTTTCCTTAATTGCTATATATGTTGCAACTACTGATCGTGTACGTAGAATTAATAATTCTTGGGTCAATTACAAGGTACGGTCAATTTATGGAAAGACGACCCATCTTGTTTGGATAATTACATCTACCCCTCAACTATGAATCTTCTAACACATCCACTATTATTGTGTTAATTTCAACATAATCATCTAAATTCTGAGAAAAGTACTCTAATGTGTACTCGTTTGGTGTGAAAATACAGTTTTTGATGCACCACAATCTGATATATACAAGCCAAAAAATACATCTTACGATCATCTAGCTTCAAAATGTGGAGCTCGAATGGGATAAATCAGGTACAAAGGTGATAATATCACTAAATTAGAAACCACAAGGATGGACGTTTAAGAAGATTTATAGCTGAGAGGTGGTTGCAATTACCCAAACAGAAGGCGGAGTTTCGTAATTTTAGCATACCTCAGAGGGGTGACTGTAATTTACCCACAAACTTATTAAAAAGTAAAAACAATAATGACTCCTTTACATAATTGATAGTACAACGGATTTCTTCTAAGTACCCCATTTTGAGGAGTCGTTTAATACTAGTTAGAAATAATACAGGCTCCGGGCTACTTATTGTGGGCTTTCTTTGTCGGCCCAAAGCTAATATAACTTCAGCCCATGAACAATTGTACATTATTTATCGGGCCGGAAAGCCCATCATGCAGTATTCTGAATTCATGATGTTAATATTCGTTTTTTGTGTGAAAGTTGATTCAAGTTAGTATTGGCATTTTATCGAACACTTTGGGGGCACTTTTGTTCATGAGTAGAACGTACAGCGAGATTCATTCAGCTATTTTTTAATTTTGCTGTTGGGATGAAATATGTGCATTGAATTGGAATATAATATATACATAGAGTGAGGTGCGAATATTCTTTTCGGCCGCCGCCCCCTCCCCCACTTTCTTCCCCCACCTGATCTTACTTTACTGCTTGTATAATATTATAATTATTAACTAGTAGTAAGCTGATGACATCATCATCTGACCTCCAGCCCCCTAACGATGACGTCATGTATAGATATAAGAATTATAATTACTGGAAATTAATTATAATATTATATTATGTATGTATGTTACGTTATAGACTGCAATGAATGTATGATGTTGGTAATAAAGCATAAGTTGTTGGTTTGTCAGCAAATATATATAATGCGGATTCAGTGTATATATATTGAGAGGATATATATTTGTGTGCGTGTGCATGCTGTATGCCAGAGGCCACAGCTAATTCATATATATCTATCAAGGTTAATTAGATAAGAGAGAGAGAGAGAGAGAGAGAGAGAGAGAGAGAGAGAGAGAGAGAGAGAGAATCTATTAGGTAGATGAAGGTCCAGGCTACGGAGTTGCAGCATCAGTATCACTATCACAGTATATATCAAAAACTTAAGAAGCTATATATATATATATATATATATATATATATATATATATATATATATATATTAGTATGTATGATATTTCATATATATTTTCAGGCGGTACGCAGCGCAACGTGTACATTTGCCCTTCTCAATGGGAGTATTTAATTTAATTTGTGGTCCCCCGGCCCTTTTATATCTAGCATAAATTCTTTCCCTGAATTGCCAATTAACTGATTTTTCTTTTGCGTACAGGTTCAATGTCTCTATTTATTTTTTATTAAATTTTATTTATTTCTTATGTTCTCTATGCGCTGGATATTATTTAATTTTTTTATCATTTGTATTTATGATGGAGCAAATTGTTGGACCGCATGCAATGTGAGATATATACGATGGCTTACTATAATATCGTGGAATCATATATCTCTGAATTACAGCACCATGCATGCATCAATATATCATCATTTTCTTTTTTTATTTATTTTTAAGTTAATATTGCTATTATTACTTATATTAATTAATCCCATCTTATCGAAGCTCTTAGGGCATTTGTGTAAATATATATTTTGGTGAAATCACTATTTATATCCAACTATAATTAATCCCAATTATGTCGAATTAAATTCTGAACCTCTACTTGAATATTATTACCACGAGGCATTCGCAGCCTAGTGGTAATAATTAACACGATGAGAGTTGTTGATTTATTTATGCAATTACTATTTATAAGATTGTAGTAGGTGGTATTTTTTTAATATAGGAGAAATATATTTGGAGAAAAGAGTGCATAATATCTCTCACGTATATTAATCATATATATGTAGTTACACGTAGGAAATCCTAACCTACTACACAAGGTAACCTATTATACAAGGTAACTATAATAAATAAGAATAATAATAATATACGTAATATATATCTCATATATACGCTAATATACCCCGCAGTCGAAACGGGAAAGGAGAGGACGTGGAGACTGGAGACAAACTGTTGGAACAGTTGAGTAGGGAGTTCTTTCGTGAAGATATCGGCAAATTGGTAGGCGGATGGGACAAGAAGAACTCGAACGTGTCCCAAAGCAACTTTGTCTCGGACAAAGTGGATATCGATATCCACATGTTTCGTACGAGAGTGTTGAATAGGATTGCTGGATAGGTAGACGGCACTGACGTTGTCACAGTAGACAATAGTGGCTTTCGAAAGTGGGCAGAGCAACTCAGAAAGTAGGTTGCGTAACCAAGTCGTTTCGGCGACGGCATTTGCGACAGCTCGATATTCGGCCTCCGCACTCGATCGAGAAGTAGTGACCTGTCGTTTGGAGGACCAAGAGATGAGGTTGTTGCCGAGAAAAACACAATAGCCCGATGTCGAACGACGAGT